TTTCTTCAGACTGTATATAGCAATTAAACCTCTTAGTAGTTATAATGTCTGTTTATTCACCCCTGTCTGTGGTTATTGATGGTTGGGTAAGTTTGTGCAAGCTCTTGTCTGTTAACAACATATATATGGCTTTATCTTCATTGACCTTAAGTTACCTTTCTTGTTACTTACAGTCCTATTCCTGAAGCCATTGAGTTGCTTAGTTTCTAAAACATTATATAGTGGTTCGAAGTACCACATACACTTTCTAAAAAAGCTATCAAATAACATGCTCCAGTCCTAGTTCTAATCTCTTTTCCTTTGTTGGGTCAGTGTTTCTCAGTCAGACCGAAATGGTGAAATGGCAGTTGGAACATGAGATTTCCTACATTTCTTGGATGTGTATGAAATTACATAAACAAACCATGGATTCAAGAAAAAGCTATGGCATGAAGCAGTGGTATCATGCTGATAACAGAAAAAAAGCAAAGCTTTAAAATTTTAATGAGGTGAAGAGTTACATAAGTATACTACATTTCTGATGATCTGAGTATAATAAAAATACAAAACTGTCAGTCTTTTTTAATTATAACTGCATCTTGAAAACTGAAAATGGTGCAGTAGTTTAAAAAAAAAACCCACAGTATGTTGTAGCACAAATCCATTGCTATAGTATCATATCCATTCAATATTCTTGGACTCACTACCTTGAATTTGTGATTTTTAAACCTAATTTCTCCAGGCAGACATTTTGAGGTCCCAGGATAGGATCTTTTGTGTCATGCTTACTCTTTTCATAAAGAACAAAATATCCTCTCTCTTATAGAAGCCTTTCATTTTAGGAACCTGTAAAACTAAGATGTAAGCTTATGAGAAGGGTTTTTGTGGTAACAGCTACAAGACCTTTGTCTTATTGGCACCCAATTTTATGATGAGCCTCAAGAAATGCTATTTTTTTCCTCAGATCTGAATTTAATGAACTTTTTATAGCCACCAGAATATTAACAAGAAATACTTGCTTGATACTACTTTTTTTTTTTTTTTTTTTTTTTTTTTTTTTTTTTTTTTTTTTTTTTTTTTTTTTTTTTTTTTTTTTTTCCCCTCCTCAAAGTGAATAAGTGAACTGTTTTTAGCATTTCATTCTCATTTCCTGGTGAAATTACAATTTGTAAAAGATGGCATATGTGAGAGTCAGAGTTGATAGCTCAGGGGCACGCCTGGGAAAAGGACACAGCAAAGGTGTAGAGCTGAAGTTGGGAGGGGGATCATGTTTTGGTGGGCTTTGGCAGAGTAACAATTTGTATAGCAGGCATGACCCAGGGGAGCTGGGATGTATAAAGTGCCACAGTTTAAATGCCATTGAAATGAGCAAAAACTGAAGACATGGGATGATAGAAGATAGGGTGGGAAGAATTTATATATTAATGTATTGTTGTCTGTCTGCATGTAAAGAGACAGGATAGCTATTTTTTCATTTTAAGTTGCAAATCTCTTTGACAATAGCCTTGTGTGTCACTATTTTACTAACTTATTCTTAATGTAACATGATCCATGACCTTGGTCCACTTTATCTCTTATTTGAGAATATCTGCAGAGTTTAGTATAGTGTACTCACTGATTTAAAATCTATATTTCCTTTTGTTTTTGTTTTTGTGGGGGTGGGGGTGGGCTGGGTTGTCCCCAACACTGAAGAGTCTCAAATAGGAATTGTGACATAAAACATACCCACCTGGTACAGTTACAGGACCCAGAGAAAAGAAATGTATTTTAGACCTGTGGTGCTTTCCTGACTCCTTCATGCTACACCAAAAAAGAAATCATGAGGGAATTAACCAGGAGATGTAGAACTGAAGGCATGATTACCTTACGCACTCCTGATGCAGATTTAAACTAGTTTATTTACCCACTAAAATACTGTAGAACACCTGATTGTCTGCTGAGATTCTCAGATGGCTATTGAAGGTCGCAGAGCTCTGTACTAGCAGTCCTCAAGGTAGCTAATTAAAATCAATCCAGCTATGTGTACACAAGCTGTAGTTACACCACAAGACATAGCCATGTTGGTGGAATTCCAGTTAAGCAATACTTAACATCATTAATGGTACAAAAGCTTAAGATATATCAGTTCAAGCACAATGAAGATAATACTTGAAATGAGTAGTATTTAAAAACTGATAATGCAGAGAGAAAAAATATGTCTACAGGCTTTTGTCCCTCCAGTTTCCAAATGTTGCCAATGTGTTTTCAGAACACCCCTGCAGTGTGCCCAAGTGGTAGCTCTGGACCATGGAATGCTAGAGGGGAAGTGACCTGTGAGAGAGATGAAATGTGTTAAAACTTGGGTGTTCTCAGTGAGTGTACCCTTGCACTCAGAACCTCTACTTTATTTTTTTTTCCTCTGTGGATGTACATTTTTCAGAAGTATAAAAGAATAGAAAATGGATCAACTTGCTATACTACTTTTAAAATTAAGACAAATTAGTTTTGCCATTCCAATATATTGATATTATTTGCTTTAATTTCTCTGTGTAAGCCTAGTAAGTATCCACATACTATTTCTCTGAAGTACATTTAATTTTTAATGCAAGTATTATAAGTACCACAATCCTACCCACAGTTGTAAGTAAAACTTCTTTAAAACACTTTTGGTAAGTCAGGATAGTATGGTGAATTCTTGTATGTTTTGTATACCCATTTGTTGTTATACAAAATAAAGAAACTTTGCAAATGCAGATGACAGAAACTTACTTTAAACATCCCTCTGTCGTTATTTTCATCTTTATTAAATGGCCAAAGGAGGTGGGATTCACATTTCCTTTTTCATGTAGATAAATTTAGGATAATGTTAAATAAAAAAGGAAAGTTAAGCGCCTATCAGTCAGTATTTTGGCAAAATGAAAGTATAAATTGTTTAACATCCATTTAAAAAAAATTTCTAGTGAAATCAGATTGTAAATGATTTGTTACAGCACCACACATTTAAAAAAAGGATCAATGACTCACTGCAGATTTATGCAGGTTTTATTTTCAGCCTTCTAGGTGCATCTTCTCTCTCCTTTAAAAATAAAGGCATTGTTTTCTTTGCTTTGACTAATAGAGAGTCAAATTTGGCTACTATCCAAATTATACAAATGTTCATTATACAGAGGAAAACTTGCAAGTGTTGGTTATGTTCTGATGTGTCAGTTTGGCCACTGTCATGGAGTGCCTTATGAGGAGGACAGAGAAGGGCTTTCAGAGAGCCCTTAGTGATGATTTTAAGATGGTAATTCAAGGGTAAGTTTTGTTGTTTGTAGTCAAAACTCATAGTAATAAAATTGACTGGATTAGGGGATCTAAAATTTAATCCTGTATTTGTGATAGGGAATTTGGATATTTAGATAATTTGTCTTAAAGGTACTGCAATATAGGTATGTGTGTGTTGAGACACTTTGTGACACTGTATTGTGTTGATGACAATAAGGAAAACAGCTTAATGTTTTAATAAATTTTAAAATAATGTGACATTCATATTTATGCTTGTAACATCTCTATCAGATACTTGAAAGACCTGGTGTACTGAAGCACTTTATGCAGACACTGACTACAGAAGTGAACGTGAGAGTTGCTACTCTTCTATATATATAAAAAACCTGTAATCTTAAAAACAACCTTAGCAGGAAACACAACTCCAAAGGTAATAATCCAGTCTGTTTTTGTTTGTTTTGTTTGATCATCTGAATAACCTCTGTTGCAGGTGCAAACCCATTTTCCACAGTGCGGTATCCGAGTATGTTATCTGGGTAACCACCAAAAGGGCGCATAAAAAGCACTTTTGGGTCTAGGTCGTTGCTGTTGGAGGAAGATGCTTTTGCTCCCCCCAGTTCTGTTCGGCGGCCTCTGAAAAGCGGAGCCAAGGCTGCTGCGAGGCGGGCGCTGGGCTGGGCTCTCCG